TGGTTCAGGCATGCCAGAAAGCCTACCTTGTGGGCAAACCACGAGAGACCTTGCTGGCATCCTGATACAGAGGACCTCTTGGCAAACGAGAGAGATCTGCTGGGTGCTTGACACCCCGCGACGTTGTCAGAACCAGATAGCCTTTACCCCGTGGGTAAGCCACGAGCCTGGCTGGTACACTTTGCGACGACAATGCTCTGAGAGATGCTGGAGAACTCGCTGTAAGTCTTGAGCGGCACCAATGAGTGCTGCGGCACCGCCTTGATCTTCTGAATGCTCACTATTAGTAGGCCACTACTACCTGGTGTAGAATGCCGCCGTATGCTTGAATGCTTGTGTGTTGGCCTAGCTTCGGTTCGTTGTGTATGCTTTCCCCGTCATAGTCGAGAGCATGTGCGGCTTTCTGTCTGTTTCACGCCGACTCGTACCCACGAACCTCGCCTGGCATGTCCGAGTTGTGAGAGCCTAAACTGAGACTCGGCTCAGGCGGTGTGGGATGACGAAGCGTGTGGTTGTGGCCTCCGGCTACTTCAACCCTTTGCACTACGGGCACGTCTCCTACCTGGAGAAGGCCGGCACTTCCACAAAAGCCTGAGAGTTATAGTCTAGTATAGTATAGTCTAGTCTACTACTATAGTCTATTATAGTACTTTATAGTCTCTTCCAGAGCCAAGGCCAGGGATCTTGGAACAAGCCTCATCGTGATTGTCAACAACGATGGTCAGGCGGAGTGTCTTTCTTTTCCTCCTTTCGCTTCGGGGTTTTTGGTCTTGAAACATCGGCTCAGGCACAGCGTCGATCCAAGAAGCCACAAGGAGGAGAGCTGACGCTCCCTGCACGCGAGCGGGTAAAGCTGGTCCGGTCCCTTCAGTGCGTGGATGCCGCCGTGGAGGCGGTGGACGAGGACGACTCCGTAGCAGAGACCTTGCAGCTGCTGCATCCGGATATTTTTGCGAACGGGGGCGGACAGATCCCGACGAAGCAGGAAGTCCAGGTTTGTCAAAGGCTGCGTATTCAGATGGTGGATGGCTTGGGGATCCAGCTCCTGTCGCTTGCGCCGTTTACCCAGCACTACGATTGGGGCAAACCGCGAAACGAAAGCATTATAGCTGCACTTACCGGCCAGCAGAGTCCGCATCTGGTTGACGAGCCAGATGCCCGAAAGCCATTTGCAGAAATGTGGATGGGAGACCACCCATCGGGACCGGCACGCGTGGTCAGTCCAGGAACGAGCCCTCGAAATGCGGACAAAGTGGTCCATCGCAGCACTTCTTTGCAGGAGGTGTTTCACAAGACTCCTTCGGTCTTGGGACCACAACTGCAAGATGCAAAGCAACTGCCCTTCTTGCTTAAAGTCCTGTCCATACAAAAGGCTTTGTCCATACAGGCGCATCCGGACAGAGAACTCGCATCTCGCCTACATCTGGAAAGGCCGCACATATACAAGGATCCGAATCACAAGCCAGAAATTGCTATAGCCTTGACGGATGATTTCCGGGCCCTGTGCATCCTGGCAGAAGTAGCGCCTGCAGTATTGACTCACGGGTGTTTTCATGCTCCTGGAGCGGGTCGTGTCATCCCCACTGCCCAGGTGGTTTCCGAACAGTCTCTGAGATTGTTCAAATCTTGGAGCAACTCGCCTCAAGATCCTGCACAGTCGATATACATTGAGCACATGATTTCCGATGTAATTACGGTAGTATAGCAGTATAGAAAATGACATTACATGGAATCATCACAGCATAACATACCAGAACCGGGCATAACATGATATAACATTGAAGGATTAGGCCCAATGTGTTGCATTTTGCGCAAGCCCGAGCGCACGAGTGAGGTATGTGCCAGAAGCCAGCACCATTATCGGGAAGGACTGCCACGAGAGTCTGAAAGCTGCCATTGGAGACAAAGTGGCAGAGTCGACGGCTACATGGCTCGCAGACAGTCGTAGGTCTAGTTGTTGCCATTTCGCGGCTTGGCTGCTGCGACCTGCCTCAGATCCTGTCAGGCTCTCCAGAATGCGTACACGCGGCTGAGACATTGCTGCAAGACGTGGGCAGTGACAAGTTTATCCGCAACGCCGCAGAGAACCAGAAGCAGGCAAACCTTCGCACTCGCTAAGGATGCATGCATCTGAGAAGGAGATTACGGATCAGCTAGAGCTTCTTCAAGCTCGAGCCACGCCGCCGGCAGATGCACCTCCAAACATTCAGGACTGCCGACTCTCGCAGCAGAATCTTTCTGCTTTGGTTGGGGTAAGCCAGGCCACGATGGCATGCAGAGTGGAGCTATGACGGTTACTGTAAGGGCACTTAGTATATCACTATAACTTAAATCCCTACAGGGATGTTACAAGGATGCTACAGTGTCATGATGAGGGTGACTATGGGTAAGCTAGCTATACCAACCGTAGTGACGAGACTCACTATAATGACAAAACAGGCCATAAGAATACACCAGCGGAGAAGAGACGGAGGGACAACAAGCTTGCTTTGGAGGATCTGTTCGAGCTGATAGGTGCCCCGGCTTTTCGTTTCAGGGGGGATCCTCTCTGAAAGCTTTAATGTTTCGGGGTTGAGGGTTGATGTGTTCCTTTTCTTGAAACTTGAAAGTGTTCTTAAAGTAGCCACGCGGTATGTACCGCTACATGCACAGTGTGGGTAGACGGACTGGCAGATTTCAGCAAGAGTGGACTCTCCCATCAAAAAAAGCTCAAGGTACCTTGCAGATGCAATACGAGAACGACGTAGGCCAGGCTGACGGTGCCGACGTGTGCTTGTCACGAGTTCTGGTGACAGGCATATTCGCCGCCATGTTCATGAACTACGCCCGCCTCAAAGTAGGCGAATGATGCTTCGTTCGCACTTGGCCAGGTCAGTGGTAACTTCGTCTTGCCTTGGCAGCCCAGGCTTGTACATGGCACAGAATGTCCCGCATGCATACATCTCGGGAGACATTGTTGAGCACGAGCCCCAGGCGCACCTTCGCTTCGCTTTGCAAGTCTTTGTTGCTTCTGCCAAGGTGCATGGCTTGCTCGGACAATGTCGTCCGCGGTGGATTGACGCCGAAGTTCAAGGACCTTGCGAAGTGCATCGCAGTCGAGTGCCGACAGCGCTTTATCAACACGTGATACATGCTATTTCGTGGCTCCGGGTGAGCTTCCAGAGCAATGGATGGCAGGATGTCGAGGTCCTGTGCAGCATGTTGCGCTACGAAGGCTAGCCGAGGATTCGCTTCGGACCTTTGGAGAGCTGAGAAGGTCTGACGACTCGGGACACTTGCAGCTCAGGTGGAGCTCCAGCGACGGTGAAACCTACAGAGCCTCTTGGCAGTCTTCGTGTGTAGTTGGCACTGCAGAGTGGCACTGGCTCCAAGCTTTGTGTCTACAAACCATGCAAGGTTGGAGGCAGGTATCCGACTCTATGCCGATCCTGACATCGAGGAGACTAACCTTCGGTGTTGCATTGCCTTCCTTCGTGGGGGCCTGTGTGCCTTGAGAGGAGTTCCAAGTGATACACCTACACTTGGAAGTCGGAGGCCACCTGCTTCTGAGACCCAGCTGGCCGCATCCTGCGTTGGAATCGAAAGGTCGACAACATCGGCTCTTCAGTAGCGAGGGGCCTGCAATGGCTCTAAACCTCAAAGGTCACGGCTTCCGGGCTGCAACAAAAAAGTTTTGGAACTGCGGTTCCGTTCCGTGATCCTTCACGAGTACAGAGTCTCCGCCAAGGCACCGTAACGATTTCGGGTGAGACGCGGGAGCGGCTTTTCTGTGCAGCACATTACACGCAGCTTCACAGGGGCATGTGGCAAGTTTGTAGTGGAGCAGTGTAGAAGCGTACAGTGGCAGTGGTACTCTGAGCAGGACATCGGTCCTGGCAAGGCAAAGATGCCGCATGGTGTGTGCAATGCTGTGGCAGAGACCAGCCGCTGACACAGTGATCCGGCATTCCGGAACCTGCCCGCAGGTCTTCATGTTGGCAGCAGGAGTGGAACCCGAAATTCACGCGAAGACTGAGATGGACGTGTTTGTCGCCTGCTGTCCTCCGCAGTGGCCTGGCCTTTCTGCGCTGGTTCTTCACCTAGGACCTAGGCACACCGTGGAGGTTTTGGCAAACGAGCCCCACACCCCACACTAACCGAGGGCAACCACATCCCTTTCAAGGCGTTTGCAGTGAGGAAGCCTGAAAGATTTCCTGAAGGGAATGTCTTCGTCATCTCGTCAACAGGTGAAGCTAAACTTCACAGATTCAGGCCCGCTTCCGTTGTAGCTTTCCACCTGCCGTTGCATCTCGCCGCGGTCAGCACTTGTTGTGTGTCGGAATCGTCTGCCTGCCTCTGCTTCGGACCCTCTCCGATCTGAGGTACTTCAAGGGTGCACACTTCTCCCCGCTGCACAAGTAAAGCAGGGGGAAGATGAAAGCGGATGCTTGACGCGCCACGGCGGTATTCGAGGTGCAGCAAATCCTTGGACACCAAGAAGGACATGGGCATGACTGCCACGCATGCCGGAAAGGTTTCCTCTTCGTCTCGGGCGCGTTGTTTTGGTTGCTGGAGTCGTCTCGTTCCAGAGCCGGCAGAGACAAAAGGTTGCATGTGTGCAGACTTGTGCCAAGATAGAACCTTAGAGCCTTGGCTTCCGCACTTTGCTTTAAGAGCACCCAGCAGTTGCTGCAAGCGGGCAGCATCACAAGAATTCGGGCTCGAGACGAACGGGTCATGTTCAATTCGACCGCAACCTCAGATAATGATGATGGTGACGGTGTATTTTCGGTCGAACGAGAAGATTTGTTTGGTCTCGCAGATGTTCTTCAACCAACGCAACATTCAAGCCTGGCCTACCAAGCCCGCTAGTTATCCTGCCGTATATGGACCACGCCCAAGATGGATGGCGCCAATCAGGGCCAGAGAGGCAGAGCTAGCCTTGTCATGGACACCTGCACTGAGACCTGTAACTGTAAGGTCCGTGAGTAGTGAGGAGCTGCATGCGAATGCCATGAGAGATGAAGATGCGCTGCAAATGCCGATCCTTGAGAAAGCGCCTGACGCGCCCGTCAGAAGTAGTGCGGCAGACTGGGCTTCGTTCCCGACTTCTCGGAACTACGTGACTGGGCACGTACTTCGATGCTGCTGTGATTTAGTATACGATGAGATGTCCGAGGCCTGGGCACTGGTTAGTACTCTTCTTTGTGGGGTGTTGCCTCTCTCCTGCAGTCGATCGAATGCAGCGCACCAACTGCATACCTGTGCTCTACTATCGTGCCGAGGTCTGCAGATCCTGAGTATGCTGGCATGGGTCGGATCTGGTGGAAACCCAGACTACGGAACTGGCTTGACTGAAAGCTTCTGGAGCCTTGACGAACCCAGTAGAAGACAGTAGAAGACAGCTGGAAAGGGTGCCTGATGCAGAAGAAGCTCAGGGTTTCCTACATATTGCTCGTGGACATTGGCACGCAGACAGGCTTTGCAGCTGGCGAGCCTTGCATGCATAGACGATTCCGCAGTTTGATAGAGGCCGTGCCTGGATTCCGGTCCATGCCATGCAAACCGCTGAAGGAACGCGGCGTGGTCAGAGGAGTTGCAGTGGTCATTTCGATAGCTGGCTTCGTGCTGCTCGACTGAGAGCTTCGGAAAGCTCAAATAAAACAGGTCCAGTGCCCGGGAGAGGAGTCAGCTGATCTGGCGAAGTTCAGGTATTGCTTGACTTTTCTGGGCATGGCCCAGGACTCAGGATGTGATGAATCCGGTGGTGCTCCCTCGAGCCAAGCACATGAGCTGCTTCTCAGGTGGTGGAGCTTATCCGATCCCTTCTGCTTTTCTGGAAAGACAAATACAGCAAAATCGATGCTCAAGGCCATTGGTTAATCCTCGGTTGGGGGGCTGGGGCCTCGAACACTGCGAAGAAGCTGAGGGCTGTCACATGGGTAGCCAGGACATCTTGCTTGCTCTAAGGATAAGACACTTTTCCTGTTGGAGGAGCTGTGACCACGCTGCATCGTTGATTTTCCGTGTGCTAGTTACTGCATTTTTGCCTTAGTGCTTCGAGCTTGACTTCACAAAGCAACTGTCACAGACGATTCAAGTTGAGACGGAGAAGTGCTCTCTTGGCTGGCACTCCGCACAAGGTTGGAGGCCGTGAGCAGCAAAGAGGAGGCAAATGCCAGATGCTGGTTTCCGCATCGGCAACGAATCGCCCCGCATCTCAAAAGACCTGGAAAATGCCGGTGTTTTGAAGCGTCATAGGAAAGCAAGAAGAGGCAAACACATGAGCCGTTTGAGGTCATTCTCGCTGAGAAAGGTGTGCGGGAAATGCAGCGTGAAGTCCAGGTAGGTTTGTCGCAGCGCGTGTTGGTGATGTAGCTTCTGCATAGTGGCATCTCGCCCTGTTCAGATGCATTTTCGGACCAAAGACCTGCAAGGCCAGCAGAAGCCCAAATTCTTGAAGTCAGGTAGTTGAAAACCTCACTACGCAGGTGCATACCGGAAGCTGCGCTGCATCTCCTACCGAGAGGGCTGCAGTGCCCACCGGGTCGAGCTGATGAAGGCAGGGACCGCTGCATACTGATCTGTTATGTTATTTTGTATTGTATTGGCAAGCCTGAGCCTAAACCTGCACTGCACGCGCCAAAATACCTGGGGGCAACACAAAAAAGGAAGAGCCAACTGGTTGACTTTCCTTTTTATAGCCAACTTGACACTAATTTATGTCCGAAACCATGCACCTTTCTGGTGCTTTCCCAGCTATCTGGGGGCTTCGGCGGTCTAACTTTTTGATGTACATTGTGTACGTAAGCGGCCAGCGGACAGCTAGAAGGTGGACGCGCCGCTGGCCGAGCACATCCTGATCATGTGTACGAATGAGACGGACATCAGCTCGGACCATGAAGATGCTTGCCTCAGACTTGTGTTCGGGCGAATTGGGCAACGGTTGAAGATCGCATCAAGCCCACAAGGCGATCCGCACCCTTCTGGCTTTGGGTGCGCCTGAGACAGAGACGAAGGCGGATGTGTGGACAGCCACTAGGCGCGATCCAGATGGTCAGATCTCATCTCTACCAGATGCTGTAAGCAGCTTCGTGTCTCCCGCGCAGAGCTGGGGCAAATAGGAAGAATGTTGCCTTCTACCTGCGAGGGACCGTGGATTTCCCGCGTAGGAACGGGATCTTCGGGGTCTTGGGAGGCGGAAGGGGACCTAGGCATGCGTGGACCGAAAGTATCGAAGTCCGCAAGGGTATAGATCCTCCGGAAGCCTTTTTCTTGAAGCACAAGAGACCTCAAAGGTTTGCGAGGACCACCCTGGTAATTGCCAAAAATATCCAAACAGTCTCTTGTGGAAAAAAGGTTACAGGAGAAAGGTAGGTGCTGAGGCTGCCTCTTCCAGCCGTGCATTCGGTGGAAGGATCTTAATATCTATATAATTACAATATGGCATACAACAGTAAACAGTATAATAAAGACCTATATAGGAGGATAGTATTGGTAAATATGAGGAGGTGATGTCGATTCGTTAAGGGTCCGTGCTCGCATGCTAAGGAGATGCACAATCGTGAGAACGCCCGCATTGTGCATACCATCCTTCCATCGGCACAAGGCATCGTTGCCAGGCATGCAGTGGCTCGGAGAAAAAGCTTCCAAGAAGATAGTGGCAGGCATCAGTTCCTAGTAAGGCCGTGTGAGCCCATCAGGTGAATCGCATGATCACTCTCCGAGCCCTGGTGCCATCCGTGGGCTATGCTTGGCTGAAGATGTCCACAACCAGCTTCTTGTCTTAACGAGCACGGAAGAGCTTCCAGTCTGAGCACCTGAATGCAACTGTGGCAAAGGATCGGGCACTCAGCTCTTCCTCGTGCGGAGCTCTGGAAGCTGCACCGAGATTACAGGAAGCTCTCGTATTCTTCCCAGGTGCCCGTGCCAGAAGACCTTATAGGCCTCCAGCTGCAGGATCGACACAAAAATGCGTTGATGTTGTGACAACCACTGGCTGAGAAGTGTCTCTCCTCTTTATGCATGCGCGAGATGCCAGGATGCCCACTGCTTCTTCCCATATGCAGTGGTATGTGGGGTGAAGCAGGGCTCTGACCACAAGAGCACACCTCTGAAATTGGGGCAGCTTCCGCTCATTTTGGAGGAAGCTTGGCTGGCGCAAGCTTGTTCCGCAGTGACTCACGCTAGCTCCGCGTTTAGAGTTTTGCTAGCTTTTCCCGATGTAAGGAAAGCGACGAGCTGGTCATGCTTGCTTCGAGCAAGTTCACTGCAGGCCTTGATGCAGCCTTGCTTCGGAAGAACCGAGCAACAACCTACATGCTTGCTTCAGGATGCTGCGACGCTCTTGGAGGTGGCAAGCGAAGTGACTTCAGGCAGACGTATGAGACGAAAGTCTCGCCAAAAGTTGAGCGAAACACGAACGAAAAAGCTCCATGATTGCATATGGCTTTAGCTGGTTCTTGATCAATCCATTCAGGAAACGGAGTTTTGCAGATGTTGTTTTAAGTGGCTTTTGCAGCCCAAAGGTGCGGAAACTGCACAACAGAGTTCTCATGCCGGACGGCCAGATCCGTCTTGGGCCAGCCTCCAGACTGCATCCAGAGTGGCCTGGAACACAAAGCGGTTTATCAGATTTCAGAAAGCAGGCCTGTCACCTGCAGGCAGCAGATGGTCCTCAAGTTGTGCTCGTTCTCGGCTGCACCTTGCTCAGAGAGGCATCGGTTTCATCCTCCAATTCCCGACGCCTCGGCAAGGTCCTGATGATTTCTGTGACATTCTGGACATCATTGACGGCTATGTGAGCTCATCTAGCACCTTCATTGCAGACTCGGTCACGCAGCACGCCCGTGAGTCGCGTCACGCATCTTGATCCAGGCCACATCCACCTTCTCTCCACTCGACCTGTGCAGTGGCACTCCGGCTGCAGCAGGCATAAAGCATCTCGTTTCGCTTGAGGCAACGTGTTCTAAGCCAAGCATTCTGCAGTCGTGTGCGACATCGCTTGGAGCTTCTGAAAGGGAAACTGGAAAACTAAAGCCATCTGCATGGTCAGGCATGCTTAGCGCTCTTCCAGCCGAGCGACCCACAGCCAAGCTGTAAGGACAGGGAACTTTCATCTCTCGTCAGGCTAGAAAACACCGTGGTCCAAAGCCACTACTTGTGCCAGTAGCATCCAGTAGCTCTAGGTCTCCGAAGCCTCACAGTGACTTAGAAGTGTTTCTGGTGATGCTTGGGAGCTCTGTCGCGATTTACTTGCAGCATCCATGGACTCCAGCGTTCGCTTTTGCTGTCGTCGCAGTAGGATTTCAGATGCTTCTCTCGAGGCGACAGACACAGCTCCGGCTGAACCTGGCCAGATGGGGAAAGCTCTGCTTTGACAGGACGCCAGCAGATGGTGAACACAAAGAGCGCATCTAGGGCTTTCAAGCGTGGGCAGACTGACGAAGATTTGAAGTAGAAGCGACCAGTTTGACTCTTTGATGGCCTCTGGCTGAGTGCGCATCTATTCCTTGTCTCCTGCAGGATCACCGTCACCCACCACGTGGGCAGTCGACGAGATCCTGCTATGCTGGAGAAGCTTCCTCTTGACATCGTCCAATGCTTACGACTTAAAACACCCTAAAACCGTAGAAAAAGCGAATTCCATAAAGCCCTATACTAAACCCGAAACGGTCTTTTGAGCCAGTGTTGGGGTCGAAACCCTAAATGTTCTTGTGTTCTCTGCAGACCTCACCTGAACCCGTCCGAGTGCAAGTGTCAAAAACACCGGAACCATGTAGCATAATGTGGTATAGAAATTAATGCAACAGAGTATTATTATGGTACAGTAATATCATAGTATAGTATTAGCATGGCACGTTGCAAGCATAGTATATGTTAGTATAGTCTAGTTGTATCACCTCGGCCTCGAGGCTGACTGCGCTTTGGTTCTTTCAGAGCGAGAAGATTTCGGTGAGAATGCCATGGATTCGGATGCCAGGACAGCCTTGCATCCCCACACAACGCACAACAAGTTTATATGCGTATATTCTGTTATATGAGCCTTAAAAAGAGAATACATGTGTGTATGTGTATATATATATGTACATACACATTGTATTATGTATATAAGCGTTACTCCTTTACAGGGCTCTGTGAACGAGGGTTCACACGAGGAATATTTTTGGAAAGTGTTGGTTCAGGGTGCAGGGTTTAGGGTTTTGAGGGCTCAATAGGAATTTGATGTGTGTATGTCATGGGTACTAGTACGGACTCCTCTCGACATCTCTCGACATTGGCGAGTTCCAGCTGGATTTGCGGAATGCATCAGGCTTCTCCCTAAACGTGGGAGACAAGTTTGAGAGTTCCTGTTTGGTGCGATCTTGAAATGGAGGAATCTTACGATTGCGATCAACCTCAGGTATGCAACTTGCTGGCACTTCAGCTGCGCCGGAGCTTAAACCCTCCTAAAACCCTGAACCCCTTAGCCCAGGTCCTGGATTGCAGGGCCGATGCCATCTCCCAGCATCGACTGAAGACTTACCGCAAGAAATGCAAGATCGTCACCGACCTCCGGCCACAGAAGAAGCACGAGCCTTTAGGGTTTATAGGAGAAAGCCTACCATAGCGAACTATGGTATACTACTCGCAAGGTTACGTAAATTGGTGCAAAGATAGTACGTTTTGTTTGAGGGTAAGGGCTCCGCAGGTTGGAAGAACCGAGGAGCGTTCCGTTGCAAAATCAGAAACTGCGCATCAGAAAACAGCGTGCATCAGAAACTGGAGACGCGTATCAGACGCTGGAGTTCGGAAACTGCCGCGGGGCCGGGGGTGGGGGAGGGGAATTGGGGGGGGGGGGAGGGGGCATGCTAACGTCCGGGGCCCAATGAGCCGTTCTGGTTTTCCGATTCAGCCGTCTGGTTTCTGAATCCCTAAACCCTAGCCCTAAACCCTAAGTGGCTGGTTTCTAATTCAGTCGTTCTGGTTACCGACTTTTCCGCCGCGCACCGAGGAGATTCAGGACCCGAAGAGCCAGATCGTCTTGGCGGAAAACAGCAGCGTCCGGAGCCTTTTCCACCATGGGGACTTTCCGAAAAAGGGGTACCTTATTTTGGGGGCCCTTATGATAAGGATCCTAGTATTTAGGGTACTATATTAGGGGGAAACCCCCACATGGAGGCTTTTGTTGCTTCACCAAAGAAGTCTTCTGGCAGATTTGACACACCGGCTTGTTGCACACATCTCAGGAAAACAGGATCTTTCGTGTTTACCTCTGCCACCGAGACCGGAGTCTTTGCTATTGTGCTTTGGATTCAACAGAAAAGTGTATGTGAATTATTGGATTGGGTTGTGGCAACTCCAGGCGGTCTCCTGCAAAGCCGTGTACGACCTTTTTACGAAGTTGATTGATCCTGCCACCAATACTGGCCATGTCGTTGCCGCACCGATTCAGAAGTATGTGCGTGGAGCTTTGGTTGCACAGTCTGTTCTGCACAGCCATGTCGGCATGTTGGCAGCTAGCGTGGTGACTGCAGCATTTTTCAGCACAGCTAAGGAGAAGAAACACTGTCCTTCTTTGACTCCCGTTCTAGTTGGCACGGTTTTTTCGAACATGATGATGAGTTTAAGGTCGAGCTGTTGTCCACCAGAACTAAGCTCGGACCTGCCGAAGGACCTTTGTGGGAGAGTCATCGAGAAATGCTCTGGCACCCTGCTGGGGTCGTTCAGAAGCAAAGAGCACTCGCCTCAAGGATGAGAGCAAAACGGCTCAATCAGAGCCAAGGTGGCGCCGCAGTGATGAGAGACACCCGGTGCTGAATCCACCGGAGAAGGCACGCACTCAATGCGCACTCACAGGGTGCGCTAGACAAGTAAGTCATGTCTGCTGCTGCTAGGATCGACCTTTGCTATGGCAAAGCCATGCCGCAGATGAGTTGATTATTCTTCAGCCTGCCACACAGGCAGGAGAAACCACACGCAGATGACTGACAAGCCGTGTCTATATCAAAGCAAGACAGGCCGACTCTGAGCAGAAGCACGACCCGGCCAAGTCGGAGGCAAACGGCCAGAGGGCTTTGCAAGCCAGCGCGCACTGGCTGAGGGAATGGGCTTTACGAGCGGCCCAGTCACAGTCTTTGTCAGGAGGCTTCGGATTTGGCAAACCGGCTGCCTGTGAGACGCTAGCTTCGCAAGGAGTGGATCATTGCAACTCCACAGGAGATCACTTGTTGGTTCCAAGGTTCCTCGCAAGAGTCCATGGGGTCCGGCGACGATCTGCAGACCCCATTGTCCCCAAGCCGGAGAAGCATGAGCGACCTTGGCATCCAGGTTCGCATGGCTTTGTGTTCGAGCGACTTCGCATTCCATATGTGCCGGGAGGCTGATACTGCCTGGATTCCGGGTGCTCTCAACTGGCGATCAGAGGAAGCTTGTCCTGCGGGAAGAGATGTCGCAAAAAGCGCGTAGCAGCCGGGGTGTCTGGACAAACGACGGGGAATTAACGCTTCCGAAACCCTCTCGGGAAGCTGGATGCAATCCCTATACCGCCCCTACACTTTTACACTCATTATCAATAAGCACAAGCAAATACGGGTTTCTGAAATCCTGTTTCCAATGGGCGAATTTATGAGGTTTTGGATGGGCCAGGGCTTGAAACTTCGTATTCAGGGCTTGGACTATATGGAAATTAAATTATCAGAATATAATCTGCCATTGAATCTAATTATAGAATATATTTCTTCAAGAAAATCTATGCATTATACGACAAAAAATCATATAAAATGTCATTAGAATATTACTTTCTATTTTTTATGAAATATATTCTCTAATAAAACGGTGTCGTGCTGGTCGCCTCCGTTTTTTTGTGCATGCTGGTCGCCTCCGTTTTTTTGTGCATGCCCCTGGCCCCTGGAACCTCGTACTCGTACTTTGGCGCGTTTCCTTTTGTAAGCCTCTTGCGTGCCTGTCTCGCGGTACTAAACTTTCGGAAATTTTAGTACCGGGAGCAACTTGTTCCCGCTACTAAAATTTCGAAATTTTGGTAGCTTTAGGATATCTCGCGGTATTAAAATTTCGGAAATTTTGGTGGCTCGAGGGGGACACGCTCCCGGTAATAAAATTTCCGAAATTTTCGGTAGGCATGCTCGCGGTAATAAAATTTCCGAATGTTTTGAGACATGCTCGCGGTAATAAA